TCAAATTTCAAGTTCTGCACGTTGGAATTGAAGTGGAGTTAACTCGGGTTGTTCTTACTACTCTGTGCGGGCTCCCGACGAGGGGATACAAATTATCGCAGGGATAACTACCTTGGCACGACACCGGGACTGGCAGCCTCTCACACAACACGATCGTGTCATTTCTGGTAAATAATTGTGCCGAAAGAACAGCCGCGTGTGGGTTAACTTGACTTTCCACCTAATATGGTGGTTTTCCCACGATGCACCGCGCCCGAGGTAAACAATTGACGTCACCTGGCGGAGACCGATTGATTAGCCACAGCAGCTAAACATGCTAACTACTAAAACTGCTCTGAAAACAACACTTTTATCTCTGAAATTAAACTCCCAATAAACGCCGTATTTATTCTGTTAAAACAAGTTTAAACAGAGTTAGAGATGAGAAACAAGCTGATTCTGACCTCATGTAAGTTACATCTAGACCGTTTATGTCTATTAGCGGCTAGCTAAGCTAATGCTAACCTAGCCGATAGAAACAGAACGAAACAGAAAAAAAGAGAATCAAATTTCTCACATCTGAACAACGACTTTCTGTCGGCACTGAGGGCTCCTCCACTCGCTGTCGGCCGCAGGGACATCCATGGCTGAAGAATGACCCCAAACTAGTGATGGGTCGGGCAACACCGATACGTCGGCGCATGTGTCGGTCTCATAGAGCGAAACCTGTGTCGACGTGTGTATCGCTACGGAAAAGTCACGTTACCGACACAGTTCCTGTGTCGGTCAGTTCCTGTGTCGGTCACGTGACCGATGTTTCGAACTGATTGACAAGCCTTTATAAGGAAGCGCATCTGCCAAAACAATCTTGCGTGTTTTGCGAATATAAAATTCATCAAAAATTATGGAGCTTCCTCAAGCAAAAAGAAAGGTTTCTGCCGTGTGGGACCACTTTGATGTCATTTCGGAAAATAAAGTATTTGTTTTAATTTCCTTGTTTCATTCTGTTCCTCTCAAGAGTTTCCACTTGATTTTCTGAGT